GGAGTGCCGCCGCGCTTCCCAAGCGGCGCACTATCCAGTGCGCCACCGGGCCGGCCCCTGCTTAAAGTTTTTGCCACAAGTGCACAAGAAAATATATTTAAGAATGTATATTTCATCATTGTTTGTAATAGTGAAAAATTGATGAAGTTGATATCCACCATAAAGAGAATGGACAAATCGATTGTGGTATAAGTAAACAACAGAATATTATATAACACTCAGAATTAATGAATGAGAGCTACATCTGTTAGTATTGATAAATCAACACATAAGGCTGAGTAAAAAAAGCAATTTGCAGGATATGTACAGTATGACACCGTTTATATAGTAGACTGAACCCATGCAAAACATTCATCTGTTTATAAAAATAAACTTATATGGTGAAAGTATGTAATATGCATAGGAATGATAACCACCACATTCAGAATTATGTCTGTCTCTGGGGAGGAAGGAGGCAATCACAGAAGGAAATACAAGAGGCTTCAACTGATTTTGTGATAATTTATATTCAAATCTTTAAAAACTAAAGCAAAATGTTAACATTTTATAAAGCCAAGTTGAGAGCACAATGGTGTTTGTGATATTCTCTCTATATGTTACACTCTCTTTGTCACCTCTCTCCCCTGGGTGATGGGAGATGCAAAGGATTACTCAAAGCCCATTTCTTCTGAGCAGTGAGAAGCCCCGAAGGGATTAATTTCCTGGAACCCTCAAGAGAGAGGCATTCCTCCTTGGGAAATTAACCCTNAGGGTTGCGATCCGTTGCCGGACACGGAAAAAGACAAAAGACAAAAAAAAAAAAAAAATAACCAACTCCCCACAGAAAGATAGGCAAAGTATGTGAACGACAGATTCACAGAAGCAGAAATCCAAATGGTCAAAAACTATTTGAAAAGATTTTTCAACCTATTAGTAATACTAGAAATTCAGATTAAATCAGTAAGCTACCATTTTACATATATCATAATGCAAAAATTAAAGAGTGGCAACAGTGATTGTCAGGATGTAAAGGAACACATTGCCCATATGTTTCTGGAAGGTGTATAAATTCGTATGACCAGTTTGGAAACCAACTTAGCATTACCAAGTTGAATATATCATTACTTAGTTATATACCTCATCACCTAGTTATATACCTTAGATCAGTGTCTTTCAAACTGTGGGTCTTCACCCACTGGGTCATGAGTTTCAGCCCGAAATTTTCTTTTTTAATGAGATAGAATGTAATACTGTTTTTTAAATGATTGCATCTCAGGTAGAAAGGGTAAATATATCACGAACCTTTTGTTTTGTATAGATAAACATGTGTATGCAGAATCCCCATTTAAAAATTTTATTTATTTTTTGCTGCTTCTTGCCTCTGGGTAGAGAAGAATTTAGAATATGAAGAGCACAGATGATAAAGGAAAGGACTGGGATCTTGCCTTGAAAGCCATTGCTTAAAGTTTTTTTTTAAAGTGACATTCCTTAATGAAATTTGCAAAAGGTTAAGTTGATCCACCAACAAAAGCTTGTTCTTAGCAAATACTGTCTTTTCCTACAGCAGTTTCCGGCAGTATTTTTACATAACAATAAAGCAACTTTCTTAACATATCAATCAGTAGGTTAACCTGCTCCAAGGACGTCTGTCCTTGAGCCAATAATTTTGCTGTGTTACAATTCTTTATCTATATCAGAGATGTTAGAATTAACATTTCTATATGTAATTTTAAAAAGGCTAAACCTGAAACTTATAGGGGTTTGGAAACTAGGCCCTGTGAAATACATTTGCTTTATAAATGTTAGTATACTCCACATCTATATAATTTTCTGTATATTTGAAATGTTTTATAATAAAAAGAATTTAAGCAAGGTTAAGAAAGATGATTGATAAATGAAATATAGAGACCTTGAAAAACCAATTTTGCCATCACGAAGTATAATTATGTTTTAATTAGATTTGAAATCATGTGACTGTTGCTTATCTTTTTTTTTTTATTTTAAGGGAAGCATCTTAAACATTTGCTTTTCAAAGCTGTTTTCTTTGACAGTAACATGCATTAACATTACATTGTGGACTTTTGTTAGGTTCAGATCTGAAGCTTCTGCCTTGTACCAGTAAGGCTATTATGCCATACTGCCTGCATTTAATGTTAGCCTGTTTTAAGGTAAGCTTAAAGTTGATTAGCCTGAAAAAAATTTATCTTGAAATATTGTTCTGATGACCCAAAATGACTTGAGAGTCTTTTTAATGATTATTAGTTTGGTACTTTTAAAGGGCAGGTTAGTATAGTAGTGGGGATAGCCCATGGGCTAGGAATGAACAAATATTTATTAAATAATCACTGCACTAGGCAAAGATGCACTAGGCAAAGATGAGCAGGAAATTATCCCTGTCCTCAAGAAGTTTACATAGAATAGTGGGACAAGTATGCACATAACTTTGCCTATAGTAGTGTTCAATAAATATACACATCAGAATAGATTAGAGAAGAAAGGAATACAGATGCTGTTGGGTTCATAGAGTGATGATGAGTGTTGTCATAATGACGCGGTGGGCAAAAAGCGTTTTAGGCATTAGGATCAACACCAGTAAAGGCCCAACAGTGTTGGCAAAGTTCAAGGACTCTTGAAAGGGCACCAAGGCCCTTGGCTGCAGGTAGAGCAGAGCTTTAGAGTAGAGAGGCTTAACTGTTTCAGGAAGGCTTATGTGCAAGAGGATAACAATCTGGGTCTCCACTTCAATGCAGAAATTCCCCAACTGAACTAATCATTGGAGTCCCTTGGGTCACCAGAAACAGTGTAAAGTGTGATTTTACACATAGCTGCATAAAATTTCAAACATTTAAAACAAAAGTCCTTGGGCCATTTCTCCAGTCACACCCCCTTCCTTGTGACTCACTGCCTTTCCTTCTCCCAGTCCCACATTCTCCTCAAACTCTTCTCCCCTAGGGGGCCTCTTGCCCATTCCACTCCCAACTGTTCCCTTACAAGAAATTTCTAATTTTTTTTTCTCTTTTGTACAGAATGACTCAACTTTCTCTAGCCCTGATTCCCAAATTCAAAAGCTTCAGGCCCACAGCACATGCCCAGCTCCCATTGCCACACACTCCCAGCACAGAGGGAGCCTGAGGCTGCTTTGATTAGGATCCACTCTCCTTAGAAGGCAGTTGTGATGTTACTAGCAATTTTGTTTCTGCTCTGCTCCTTTCTTGCTCTACTAGCCTTTATCACACATTTGTGTGTGTGTCTATAGAGAGAGCACTTTTTTTTAGGAAGTGATATTGGCTGTGTTTTAGTTTAACCTGTGATTTCCTTTTCCTTCTGTGTCTTGCATAAATCTTTGTCTTGCAGCTTAGGGCTTTCACAGACAACAGAGATGACATGGCACTGGGGCACGTGATCGTACTGCTTCAGCAAGAGTGGCCACGAGGAGAGAATCTTTTCCTGAAAGCTGTCAATAAGATTTGCCAACAAGGAAACTTCCAATATGAGAATTTTTTCAATTATGTTACAAGTATCCTTTTTCTTGTTTAAGGAACAAGTTGTGATTTTTTAGAATGAATGCATGATATAAAAATGAATGAACCATTCTGGATAGAAATAATGGTTTTTACTATTTTGAGGAGAAAGATAAGGGGATGGTAGTTAAAAAAAATGGGGCTGTGGCAATGGGTCTTGTGAATGTCATAAAAGTCTTCAAAGACATAATTGAAAAATCAGGAGTATCAAGAACTCTGTTCCATTTTCCACTTCTAGCTGACGTCTAAGGAGGTACCCAAGATGCCTGAAGTAATAGCCTAATAGGTTCCTATTAGACACCGGAGTGGCTGGTTTAGCCATGGAATATAATAATTCCTCAGCCTTCATCTATCAAAAGAGTCCCTCCTCTGGCTTCTCCTGGAACATTGGCTGTCCGTTGGGATCAGATGTTAGAGCACCATGCCATAGCTGTCATGGCTACCAGTGAGCAACCCACCAAAGATGCTCCCCAACACCATAGCTGCTTATCAGGAAAAGACCTTCTTTGAATTGAAGACTATGTATCAGTTTGGATGTTTGTATTTGATTGCTTATCTGAATCCATTTTTTCTGAGTTGTAAGGAATAGGATATCTTTGTCCAAGGGCCCAGAGCAATAGCTTTCAACCTTTTTGGGGACAGACACCTTCAGAATCTGAAGAAAGTTATATCACTTTTCACCAGAAAAATGTGTATATGAATGTCATCAACATTTGCATAAAATTTGGGGGACTCACAGAAGCCTCCTTTCCTGAAGTATCTACAAATCCTTGTACCTTAGGTATGAAGAAATAATCACTTTATTTTTATGAATATCATCTTCTATAACTCAAAATAATCTTCCCCACTTCAACTGCTTCTTTTCATTTCTTACTAAGAAAACAAAAAAATTGATCTTACAACCATGCAGAGTCTGTTTAATTATCATCTATATGAAAAACATGCTGTCCTTATGTCCATTAACCTGGCACATTTTATGCCAAGATTTACCTTTGTGGGCAGTTTGGTTGGTATAAGAATGATAAGTTTTGGAATCGGGCAGACCTGGGTTCCAATACTGACTCTGCAGGTGTCAGTGGAGTGGTGATGGGCAGGTTACTCAAACGCCAAGATCCTGTTCTTCCAGCAAGGACAGGGCACCTTGCTTTCATGTGAGATTAACCTGAATGTGGCCTGCAGATATTGATATGCTGGAGGAATTTGCCTACTTAAGAACTCAGGAAGGTGGAAAAATTCATCTGGAATTACTGCCCAATCAAGGAATGCTGATCAAGTAAGCATGCTGTCTTTTGTTCTCCTGTGCTGAGTGCTCACCTTTTGTGTGCTTGTGTGAAATGTTTATAAATTTCTATACCTTTCGAAAATTTAATAGAAAAGAATCCAAACCTGGTCTCTGTTTTTGAAAGTCAGTTTGATTCTGCTACCTTTTGAAAGACTTGGATTTCCTTCACTGCACTTCTGAAAAACATTGTTTAAATTGGACTGTTTCTGTCACTTTTAAATCTTTTTCACTAGATAAAAGTCTCATTCATATCTTTTTTTTTTCCCAAAAATTTACAGGCTGATTCTATAAATTTCTGATTAGACATAGAGTGATTTTAGTTAAGAGGAGCCATGTTTAACTAAAGTTGTACTGGATTAGGAAAATTTATTAGGAAAAACTACAGATTTTATTCATAAGCTGTATTTGAAGCCCTCCTAAGAAATCCTCATTACTTATATAACACAAAGTAAAATAGCTGGGTCTAGTGCCTCTAGGAAATCATGGTGGGACTGCTCAGTCTCAGGCATGTCCCCTGTACCCAAAGATGTTACATTTCAAGTTGGCCCAGATGAAAATACCAAGTTAGTGATGATTTATGATTTTTAAATAGCTCATGAAACTTGCTTCTATCCTTCAATCCTTACGGTAGTTTGGATAATACACCCTCTCTGCTGTAACTGCCACATATAGTTTTATTTCCATACCTCCTTTGCAGCTGCATATTCAGTGTGTCTGTAAGTCAGTGTTGGAGTTACTGCAAGGGACTGAACCCTTAGTGAGAAGAAAGTACTGCTAAAACTGAAAACATTTTTCTTTTTCCCTCAACTGTGAAATCAACAAGTTTTCAGTTGTTAAAAGCAAATATTCCCATCTTGTTCTGTCACTGTAGTGTCTTAGAAATGTTGAGGGAGGGAAGTAAGAAATGTTCATTCTGGATTTCCATAACCTCAGTAATTTGGTGCATAGCAAACGTTTCTTTTTATGTCCTAGCAAGAATGGGTTCTTGTGGAATCCATTCTACAGAATGGAAAGTTTAAGTGTTTTTTTTTTTTTTTTTCTTCTTCATCTTGTAATTGTTATTGAATATTCTGAACATTTAAAATGAAAGAACAGATGCTGTTTTTTAAAAACACGAGAGCCTTTATACATTAGGCATGCTCATCTTCTCATCCGCATTTACTTTCCTAAAATCGTGAATCAGAACTATGGGAAAAATAACTACATGGTTCCAAATATTCTTAGCAGTGTTTGAGAATAAAGATTACTTTTTGCTGTCAGAGCCCAGGGAACCCCTTTTGTTTGGGGATTTCTTTTCTAGATTTTGAAACTGGATGTATAAACATGCCTTAAGTGAAGCTTTTTAATTAATTTCTATCAACAATCACCATACTAATTATATAATACAGAGACAGCCTTAGAACCAAACTCTGTCTACATAGGATTAAACCTACAGATGATTATCAACTTACTTACATAATGCTTAATTGTCTGTGGAAGTGCGAAAGAACAGATTGTCAAGAAATTAACAGTTGGCCCTCAAATTTTATTGTTTGAACCTTTCTTCTTTTACCAGTTTTTATTAAGCTGAACGGTGACATGGATACATGCAGACAATCCCTAGGACAAGGAATTAAAGTGAGGTAGTGTTGGATTCCCAAATAGTATTACTGGAAAGGGTTTTTGAGGTTGTTTGTGTAAGGGATACCCATCATGCATTTTTAGGTTTTTGAGGGATAATTCCAGGCTCTCCCACCTTGATCAATATAACCCTTAATTTCTTCTAACTTCCTCTAGAAGACAAACCTCCTAGCTTCTTAGGAAACCTGCAGTTTCATCAGTTTGGAAGCAGGAATAGGTATTGTTACCTAGTGATCTGACCTTGTAGGAATTTACCCAGTCTTCACTGCGTGAGTCTCAAAGTTCATTTGAAACCTGTATTTCAAATCACTTATGCCTAAATTACAGTAGTAGCAGCAAACTGCATAAGACAGAGAGCTCTTACTAATTGAGGCATGATTAGAATCTTAAATAAAACTATCTATATTCCTTTTCCCTTTGGGTTCCAAACAAATTCTCTGAAGCCATTTGCAGACCTTTTGGGTGGCCTCCCCAGATGAGTGGCAGAGATGTTGTGAGCAGTGTACAGCTCCTCCCCTTGCGTAAGGTGACCTGTCCTAGTTGTGGCATGTCGGATGCAAGCAGGTACAGTACAAACACCAAGGGCACCTGGAACCTGACCAAAAGGAGGGAAGACGCTCTTAATTTGTTAGGTAGACATTTTGCTTTTAACTATTTTAAAATAGAGAAATGTTTCTATGCTGGTATTTTTAGTATCTTAGTTGCATTAGACTGGATTAATATGGGAAATGATGTCTTCCATCTCCTCTGAATAGGGTGGATGACGATGTTCTATGGGGTGATCACCAGCTAATGTACTTAATCTTTGTTGTTACAGAACTCTGCAAAGCCATGGATCCCAGACTCTTTTCTCTCCCATCTGTTCCTTTTCTCAATACTTTTTTGAAATCCATACTTACCCTTTCTTTATCAAAGTCATTGCCAGCCACTCTCATCCTCTTGGAAGGGCCTCTCCAGATTGAGGCTTCGATCCTGTCGTAGGTGGTTGCAAAGAGTCCAGGGTTATTTCTGGGATTGGCATGGGCATGAGAAGAGTGGAGAGTAAAGGATGCTGGGTCTGAAAAGGTGTCTTCTCCAATGTTAACCCCACTCCCCGGTGCCATTCAATTGCATCTCATCGTCCTCTTCCTCACTGGTTGCTTTTTATACTGAATCTCAAGTGGGCTGAGCTCTGGCACCAGGAACCAAGATGCCTGTGGACATGCACCAGCAGCAAGCAGGTGCAGTGAGGGCTCGCTAGCTTCTCCCACTCTCCTTAAAATCACAGCTGCGGCCAGTGGCTTGTGGAGGTTAAAGAGTTTCTTGTACAGTCTGCTCCCAGTCTTGTGTATTTTCTCTGGAGTGTTGTTTTGCAGTGCAGGGTGAGTCGGTGTGGGTGTTTGAATGCTGCTGTTTGCTGTTTTTTAAAGGCCTTCTAGCCCTCCCATGGGGTTGCTGCAGCAGGAATTCTTACCTGTGCTTCAGCCCAGCATACAGACTGCTGACAGGTACCAAGTGGAAAAAACACCTGCTCATAGTGTGCTGTTTTGTCAACATGTTTTACTGCCCATGGTTTTCAGCTCTTTGTTCCTCAGTGCTCTTTTTCATGCTTTATTTATTTTTTGATTTGTTCTGCATTCCTTGGCAAACCATCTGGTTGTAATATTGTAACATTTCGTATTTTTTTCCATAAGTTGCTAGTGTGTTTGTGTTCGATTTAAAAATCATTATGGATCTGGAAAAAAATGAAAGTAATATAAAACTGTATCAGATTAAGTGCACATTAGATTAGGTGCTCAACTATTGTTCTCTTTTGATAAAACATCAAGCTTTCAGTCATAAATATTTAAAGAGGCTGAATTCATATTTTAAGTAAATTTTTATTGGTGGATTTTCATATTAGTGACCAGTGGTGTTTGGATCTAAATAAGCATTAGCACAGTTTTTTTCTGTCACTGATGCTTTTTTTTCAGACCTTACCTTTCTGAATTGAAAATATTTGATAGGCTAAAATGCCACATTTATTAGCTGGTTTATCTTGTTCTTTAACCACAAAAGCTAATTAATTTTCTTCTTCATCCAAACTCACCAGATGAATAGAGGCTGTAATAGAAATATAAATGAGTTGTGCTGCTCTTTATATTTGGAAACAGTACAATTAGACCATGATCAGTGGGATCGCATTCAGTTATATTTTTAGCAATATTGAGAGTTTGCCCTTTAGCTTACTGTCTGCAAATGCCAGTAACTTCCTCTTAGTTGAAAGGTTGACTCCAATTTGGATTTGCAACCTGGGACCCAGAAAAGCATATCTCAGATCAGTCTAAAATGGTCTACATCTATTCCCAGTGGGACTCATAGCCTCGGCCTCACTGGCACTGTGTCCTAATTACTGAGTTAACCAGACTAGACTAGAAATGTGCATAAAGAAAGGAGCATTTTCTCCATGGCCTTGCTATCTTACTACGTAGTTCTTTAAAAGGTCCATGGACATTGTAGAGTGTTTTGTAATATCTTTACTAGTCTAACAAAGCCTGTTTGTTTGTTTTTTTTTTTTTCCTTTTGCATTGCAACTTTATCACTTCTGTTGTACTTATTTTATATAATTAACACAAGTTTAGAAAAACAGAAACATTTTAGAGTGATTTCGCCAGTTTTATTTTGCTCAATACGTAAAAATCTTAATTTTAAATCCCTGTTACTTGGAGGGAAGTTAGGCAGTAGTGGTGGGGAATGCAGGTGGTTTCTGTCTGTCTGAACCTACCAAATTACTCAACTAGTAGTTAAAACTCCTTTCCTCTTAACTGAGCTGAAGATTTTTGCTAGATTTTTCTTTTCCTTTCTTTATTTTGTTGTCTTCAGATTTCTGGGATTTCATTTGTGGTTTCCTGTTCTAAAGCATGGCTTTTGGGGCCTAGTTAGAGACCTCTTTGCTTGCGCTCCCATGGACCCTTCCCCAGATGTGCAGGTGTCCTCTCAGTGCCTGGACAGATCTGGTCTCCGGTAGGGCTCTACAGGCCACTGACTCTGTCCTTCAGTGCTCCTGCTTCTCCCAACCTGTGCCAAATTCTTGTCTCAGGGCCCCAGCTTCCCCTGCTTTTCCCTAAACACATGAGAGTCTGGGTTGCATGGCACTTAGAGGTGTTGCCCTGATCTGGTGACGTGGGGGGGGTCTTTGTATTGTGAGAAGAACATGACTTCTGGGGGACAGAGCCTGAATGCCATGGTTTGAATGTGTTTCCCCAAGTTCATGTGCTGGAAATTTAATCTCTAATGCAACAGTGTTGAGAGGTAGGACCTTTAAGAGATGATTCGATCATGAGAGCTCGGCCCTCATGAATGGATTAATGTTGTTATTACAAGTGTCGGTTAGTTACCTTGAGAGTGGGCTTGCTATAAAAGTGAGTTCAACCCCCTCTTTCTTGCTCTCTTGAGTTCTGTCGCTCTTCCACCTTGCGCCATGAGATGGCGCAGCAAGAAGACCCTCACCTGATGCCCGCACCTTAATCTTGGACTTCCCCGCCTGA